TCAAAATTTCTAGAAAATTACTTTTAGTTTTTGAGAGAGAGGAAGGTTTACTGGTAGAGTATCAAAACTGGTGCGATATGGAACTTCAACTTGTTCGTCATGGGGGTCGCGGGAATTGATTAATCCCGGGGAAGAATAATTTTTTAACGGGACTTTGGTCCACTGTTTTCAGCCCCGACACCCGCCGGGCTAATAAGCAACTGTTTATACGAGGGAAAATACATCCGTTTTAAAAGCAATCGGCTTCGTCGGCGTTTTTTTATCTTGCATTTTTTTACCGTGCTTAGTCACCCTCCCTCACTCTGCCGCCCGTAATAACCTTTTTTTGCAACCCCTTTTTTTTTTTAAAGCATCTATCCCTGAAAATTTAAGAGCAGTTTCATGTCTGTTTTTCCAGATGATAATACGGCATTTTATTTCCCAAATTTCTACTGCACTTGGCGAGCCACCTGAAAAAAAGGGTTTTAAAGCTTTTTTAGCTAGGCCCGCTAAAGCCGAAAAAAATCCCCCCCCTCGGACTCTGTTTTGGCGCGTGAAAAGTTTGTATATCTCCCGGGCCCCCCCCCACCGGGGGGGGTTTTTTAGGGGAAAAAAACTCCGAAATTCCGCCAGAGGGCATTTGAAAGGGTAACGCATTTTTGGGGTTAAGAAACAATAACCATTTTTTACGCGAGTTGGTTCTAATTTACGGTCTTCCTGTAACACTACGGTAGTGGAAGACCGCTTTAAAAAAGAAAATTTACGACCAAAAACTGATCGTCATTTTGATAGCTTTTTTATCTAATTTATTACGCATAGAGGTTTGTACATCATAGGATGAGCATTTTTTAAATACTCCCCTGAAACGAAAGCATCCAGAAATTGATAATGACTCCCGTTTTTTTTTGGGGGTTCCAAAATATCCTTATATTAAAAAACATAATCACCCCCGGAGGGGATCGGCTTGAATGGGGCAATCTGTTTGGGGGAAGGGGGGTCCCCTCGGGGCGTCATAGAAATAAAAAAAATTTTTTCAGCGCTGCTAAGCCCAAGCACCCGACTATTCTCGGTTTAATTGAGTTTTAAAATAAAGGGGCAGCATTTTTTTCCCGTAAAGGTTCGCGTCTCGTCGAAACTAAAACCCCCCAAATTCCGACATCATAATTGAGTTTTTTCCCCTTTTGGGGAAATTGCCGAAAAATTATCTCTAAAGGCTTTTTTTTAAATCTCTGGTTTAGCTGTCGATTAATTTTTAAATAATATGGTGGCACCCCTGTCGATAACAACTTTTTTTGGTAAAAGTGATGGAATTCTTCTGTACTTATTCCTTTTTCAGTAATGTGATTTTGTTTATGTAAATACCGCATTCGGCATCGTTCTTGTTAGAATTTTAAATTTTTTGGGATACAAAACATTAAGCAATGCTTTTTTGGGTTTTAAAGGATGGATTTAAAGGCTTTGCAGTAATTATTTTTTGAAGGCCAAAAGCTGTATTGTCGAAAATGTCAAATTTTAAAAAATGCTAAAATTTAGATATATTTCCCCGGACCCCCTCTGCCATGTTGAGGGACAGAGACGTATGACAAATTAAAAAATATTGACCATTATTATATTTTTAAAGGGCTTAAAAAAACTTTAGTTTGAAGATTTACATTTTTATTTTTTTTTTAAATTTATTTTAAACACTTTTTTAAAGGTTTTAAAAAAATATCCACATGTGCGTCGTTTGCTTTTTCGGTGAAGTGCCCACTCCATCAGGCTTTCCCTTCCCCTTCCCACTGTCTCGTTTTTTCCAATCCCCCCGGCCGGCCCCCGACGTCGCCCCCGCCCCCCCGCTGCCCGCGGGCGTGGCCCCACCGGTGATGCTGCAGGCCTTGTTTCCCACAGACAGCGTATTTTCCCTTTCTAGAGCTTGGGGGGGAGGCCGCGTTAAATTTTTCCCCCTCATCGGGGTATTTTGGGGCTCCCAAAGTATGGGTCATGAGGAGAGAAAGCAGTCTGAATTTCCCGTTTCAGTAATAGTCTTGAAATAGTTAATGAGAGGGGGATATTCAGTGTGCCATTCAGGCCTGTTTTCTGCTCATGCCAATGTACGGGGGAAAAATTACCCTTTTGATGTTCCCATTGGCTATCACTGCCCGCCCGGGGGACCCCAGACAAAATTTTAAAACCAATTGGGCGTTCGTTGCGTGTCCTTGCTCAACCGCGTAATAATGCGTGCGAGACTCCCTTCTAATTGCTTTTGGGCCAATTTCTTTTTTCAAGACAAGGACCCGAGAACTGACTATTGTGCTGCAAGGGGGGTCTTAAAAAACCCGGGGCCCTGCATAAAGGGGTTTGGTGCAGGGTGGGTGATTTTAGGAAAATTTTTCCCGGGTGTCCCCCGATCGCAGCAGGGCCCGGGGTTTCACCGGGAAATTGCGTTTTTCGCTCAATTTTGGAAAAAAGGTATTTTTCCCAGAGTGAAGAGCCCGGCTGTAGGGGCGAAGAAGTAGGTTGTGGGGTTTCACGATACAATCCCCAATTCCAGGAATTCTTCGCCCGTATTCCCCCGACCAATTACTGGAAATTTTATTTCCTTCTGTCAACAGTTGGGGTTTTTAAGTCCTCGCTGGGGAGGGAGACGGATTTAAAGTTTATCGGCACGTCGGCGGCGGGGTTTAAAACCGCGCTGGTTGCCCCCCACTCCCGGGGGGGGTTTTGGGAGGGGTTTGGGGGACCTCTTAGGTGACATTTTCTAAGATGCTTATACAAGCTTTGGCCCCTTCAAAAGTTTACATCCCCGGGAAATCATGCGTAGCATATTTAAAGGCTGATTTCAGCCCCTAGTTCTTTTGATTTAAAAATTTTCATAAAAATTTTTCAATTTCATCAAAAGTCTTTTGTAAATTGGTCATGGGGCAATTGACTTTGGATTCGTGGGTTTTCCATAAACTTTTTATCACAGAGCTTTGTAACACACTTGTGTAAATCTTTCGTTTGCGTTAAATTTATGTAAAAATATCGACAAACTGGGGGGCCTTTTTCCTTCTTATTCAACGGGGAAGATTAATTCCTGGGATAATCAATGAGGCGGTCCCCTTTTTTTTTTTTTGAAAAGCACTTCGGAAGGAACTTTTTGTCCCTTTTCCTGTCCCGGGATTTATAAAGGGGCAAAGTTTCTTCGACTTTTTAAAGCTTAAATTTTCAAAGGCTAGCCAAGCGGCTTTTTTTTTTTCCCGGTCTTTTTAACATTTAAAAACCGCCTAATAATTGTTTTTTCGCCTTGTATTTTTTAAAAACTTGGCTCTAATCTAATAAGGGTCACTAATTCCCCTACAACGGGCAAAAGTTTTTTATCGTGTACGTCATGCTTGCAAAGTTTAATGTTTGTAAAATTTTAAAAATGGGATGGGGGAATAAAATACCTCTCTTTCCCCCGAATGAAAAAAAATTTTTTTTGAATAGATAGCAAGATTTCGCGTATGGCAATTTTTCTCTCGTGAAATACAGATCAATTATTTTATTTAAATTTGGGGGGGAGTCCCAGGGGGAAGAAAAATGTTGTTTTTTTCTGATATTAAAAATAAAAATATTTCGGGGGGGGTTTATTTTGGCTTTATTTTCTGTTTCGGATTTTTTTTTTTTTTTTTCTTTTGACTCCCCGCGGCAACTACCCCGGCGCGCCCGCCACCGCAGCCGCCGAGCCGCCGCCACTGCCGCCCCTGCCGCCACCCCCGCGGGCGATTACAGCGGGCGAGCTTTTTTTTTTTTTTTTTTTTATGGGGGGGCTCCCAGTCTCAAAAAGGGCCGGGGGGTGCCCCCTCGTGGGGGTGGGAGCCGAAGCGGCAATTACCCCTTTTGAGGGGAGTTGTCGTGGGGGAGGGCTGACCTTCTATCCTTGCTTTGGGGGTGGTTTTACTTTCATCTGAGAGGCTGGAAGTTCCTTTCCCACGCGCCCTAGTGGTGGTTGCGTGCTTCGGGGGGGGGGGGAAAAGGAGATTCGCGCTTGGATGGGGGGGTATTTGTTTCCCTTTTTAAAAAAATATTTTTTTGGCGGTTAGCCGAGGGATGAGACAAAAATTTCCCTTTTACCATTTCGATTTTTTTTTTACTTTAAAAAATACTAAAAACGAGAACCAGAGGGAAGAGTGTAGTTTAAAATGGCCCCCCCACGCTTCGAAAGAAGAATATTTTTTTTTTTTTAAAATGGAGTTCGTTTACGGGCAACTAGAATGTCTCCCTAAACTTCTTTAATTTGCTCAAAATGTCGGTTTTACTGTTAGATTTTTTTTAAAAAAATTTGTAAATATCTCAGATATGCAATTTAAATTTTTTTTTTTTTTTAATTTCCTTAATAAAAGATTTCGAGCTTTAGCTGGAAGTTTTTTTAATAAAATTAAAAAACTGTGTTGCATGCTAGGGGGGTTTCCCCGTCTGACATTTTGCATGTCCTTTGTGCACCCGCTATCTGCACTTCGGGGAAACCCCCCCACTCACCCGATATTTTCTACTGCCGTCGTTTTTTTCTCCGTC